GTTAGGTCTTATGTTTAAGTCTTTAATCCATCTGGAGTTAATTTTAGTGTAAGGTGTCAGGAAGGGGTCCAGTTTCTGCTTTCTGCACATGGCTAGCCAGCTTTCCCAACACCATTTATTGAACAGGGAATCCTTTCCCCATTGCTTGTTTTTGTCTGGTTTGTCAAAGATCAGGTGGTTGTAGATATGTTGTGTTGCCTCTGAGACCTCTGTTCTGTTCCATTGGTCTATATCTCTGTTTTGGTACCAGTACCATGCTGTTTTGGTTACTGTAGCCTTGTAGTATTGTTTGAAGTCTGGTAGTGTGATGCCCCCCGCTTTGTTCTTTTTGCTTAGAATTGACTTGGCTATGCGGGCTCTCTTTTGGTTCCATATGAAGTTTAAGGTGGTTTTTTTCAGTTCTGCGAAGAAGGTCATTGGTAGCTTGATGGGGATAGCATTGAATCTGTAAATTACTTTGGGCAGTATGGCCATTTTCACGAAATTGATTCTTCCTAACCATGAACATGGAATGTTTCTCCATCTGTTTGTGTCCTCTCTTATTTCGTTGAGCAGTGGCTTGTAGTTCTCCTTGAAGAGGTCCTTTACATTCCTTGTTAGTTGTATTCCTAGGTATTTTATTCTCTTTGTGGCAATTGTGAATGGAAGTTTGTTCTTGATTTGGCTCTCTTTAAGTCTGTTATTGGTGTATAGGAATGCATGTGATTTTTGCACATTGATTTTGTATCCTGAGACATTGCTGAACTTGCTTATCAGTTTCAGGAGATTTTGGGCTGAGATGATGGGGTCTTCTAGATATACAATCATGTTGTCTGCAAATAGAGACAATTTGACTTCCTCCTTTCCTATTTGAATGCCCTTTATTTCTTTTTCTTGCCTGATTGCTCTGGCTAGAACTTCTAATACTATATTGAATAGCAGTGGTGAGCGAGGGCATCCTTGTCTGGTGCCACATTTCAAGGGGAATGCTTCCAGTTTTTGCCCATTCAGTATGATATTGGCTGTTGGTTTGTCATAAATAGCTTTTATTATTTTGAGATACGTTCCATCCATACCTAGCTTATTGAGGGTTTTTAGCATAAAGGGCTGTTGAATTTTGTCAAAGGCCTTCTCTGCATCAATTGAGATAATCATGTGGTTTTTGTCTTTGGTTCTGTTTATGTGGTGAATTACGTTTATAGACTTGCGTATATTGAACCAGCCTTGCATCCCCGGGATGAAGCCAACTTGATCAGGTGGATAAGCTTTTTGATGTGCTGTTGCAATCGGCTTGTCAGTATTTTATTGAAGATTTTTGCATCTATGTTCATCATGGATATTGGCCTGAAGTTTTCTTTTCTTATTGAGTCTCTGCCGGGTTTTGGAATCAGAATGATGTTGGTCTCATAAAATGATTTGGGAAGAATTCCCTCTTTTTGTATTGCTTGGAATAGTTTCAGAAGAAATGGTACCAGCTCCTCTTTGTATGTCTGGTAGAATTCAGCTGTGAACCCATCTGGACCTGGGCTTTTCTTGGGTGGTAAGCTCTTAATTGCTGCCTCAACTTCAGACCTTGTTATGGGTCTGTTCAGGGTTTCGGCTTCTCCCTGGTTTAGGTTTGGCAGTAGGCAAGTGTCCAGGAATTTATCCATTTCTTCCAGGTTTATTAGTTTGTGTGCATAGAGTTGTTTGTAATAATCTCTGATGATGGTTTGAATTTCTGTGGAATCTGTGGTGATATCCCCTTTATCGTTTTTTATTGCATCAATTTGGTTATTCTCTCTTTTCTTTTTTATTAATCTGGCTAGTGGTCTGTCTATTTTGTTGATCTTTTCAAAAAACCAGCTCCTGGATTTATTGATTTTTTGAAGGGTTTTTTGTGTCTCTATCTCCTTCAGTTCTGCTTTGATCTTAGCTATTTCTTGTCTTCTGCTTGGCTTTGAGTTTTTTTGATCTTGCTCCTCTAGCTCTTTCAGTTTTGACGATAGAGTGTCAATTTTTCATCTCTCCTTGCTTCTCATGTGGGCCCTTATTGCTATATATTTTCCTCTAGACACTGCTTTAAATGTGTCCCAGAGATTCTGGTATGTTGTGTCTTCATTCTCGTTGGTTTTGAAGAACATCTTTATTTCTGTCTTCATTTCATTGTTTATCCAGTCAACATTCAAGAGCAAGTTGTTCAGTTTCCATGAAGCTGTGCGGTTCTGGGTTAGTTTTTGAATTCTGAGTTCTAACTTGATTGCACTGTGGTCTGAGAGACTGTTTGTTATGATTTCCTTTCTTTTGCATTTGCTGAGGAGTGATTTACTCCCAATTATGTGGTCAATTTTAGAGTAGGTGTGATGTGGTGCTGAGAAGAATGTATATTCTGTGGATTTGGGGTGGAGGGTTCTGTGAATGTCTATTAGGTTTGCTTGGTCCAGGTCTGAGTTCAAGTCCTGGATATCCTTGTTAATTTTCTGTCTAGTTGATCTGTCTAATGTTGACAATGGGGTGTTAAAGTCTCCCACTATTATTGTGTGGAAGTCTAAGTCTCTTTGTAAGTCATTAAGAACTTGCCTTATGTATCTGGGTGCTCCTGTATTGGGTGCGTATATATTTAGGATCGTTAGCTCTTCTTGTTGCATTGATCCTTTTACCATTATGTAATGTCCCTCTTTGTCTCTTATGATCTTTGTTGCTTTAAAGTCTAATTTATCAGAGATGAGAATTGCAACTCCTGCTTTTTTTTGCTCTCCATTTGCTTGGTAAATCTTCCTCCATCCCTTTATTTTGAGCCTTCGTGTATCCTTGCATGTGAGATGGGTTTCCTGGATACAGCACACCGATGGGTTTTGTCTTTTTATCCAATTTGCCAGTCTGTGTCTTTTGATTGGGGCATTTAGTCCATTTACATTTAGGGTTAATATTGTTATGTGTGAATTTGATACTGCCATTTTGGTGCTAGCTGGGTGTTGTGTCCTTTAGTTGAGCTGGTACTTGTTGTTCCTTTATATATGTAGAGCCTCTTTCAGGAGCTCTTGTAGAGCTGGCCTGGTGGTGACGAAATCTCTGAGTACTTGCATGTTCCCAAAGGATTTTATTTTTCCTTCACTTATGAAGCTTAGTTTGGCTGGATAGGAGATTCTGGGTTGAAAGTTCTTTTCTTTAAGGATGTTGAATATTGGCCCCCATTCTCTTCTGGCTTGTAGGGTTTCTGCTGAGAGATCTGCTGTGAGTCTGATGGGCTTCCCTTTATGGGTAACCCGACCTTTCTCTCTGGCTGCCCTTAGTATTTTCTCCTTCATTTCAACCCTGGTGAATCTGACGATGATGTGCCTTGGGGTTGCTCTTCTTGACGAATATCTTTGTGGTGTTCTCTGTATTTCCTGGACTTGAATGTTTGCCTGCCTTGCTAGGTTGGGGAAGTTTTCCTGGATAATATCCTGAAGAGTATTTTCCAGCTTGGATTCATTCTCTTCGTCGCATTCGGGTACGCCTATCAAACGTAGATTAGGTCTTTTCACATAGTCCCACATTTCTTGGAGACTTTGTTCATTCCTTTTTACCCTTTTTTCTCCAGTCTTGCCTTCCCGTTTTATTTCATTGAGTTGATCTTCGACCTCTGATATCCTTTCTTCTGCTTGGTCCATTCGGCTGTTGATACTTGTGCATGCTTCACGAAGTTCTCGTGTTGCGTTTTTCAGCTCCATCAATTCACTTATATTCCTTTCTATTTTGTCCATTCTCATTAGCATTTCCTCAAATCTTTTTTCAAGGTTCTTAGTTTCTTTGCATTTGGTTAGAACATGTTCTTTAAGTTCACAGAAATATCTTACTACCCATCTTCTGAAGTCTGATTCTGTCATTTCATCACACTCGTTCTCCCTCCAACCTTGTTCCCTTGCTGGTGAGGAGTTGTGATCCCTTTTAGGAGGAGAGGTGTTCTGGTTTCGGGTGTTTTCATCCTTTTTGCGCTGGTTTCTTCCCATCTTTAAGGATTTATCCACCTGTCGACTTTGTAGTTGCTGGCTTTCAGATTGGGTCTCAAATCTTTCAGATTGACGTTCTGTTTGTTGATGGTGAGGTTGTTTCTGTTTCTTGGTTTTCCTTCTGACAGTCTGGCCCCTCTGCTGTAGGTCTGCTGAGGTTCACTCCAGGCCCTGCTTGCCTGGGGTTCACCTGCAGCAGCTGTTGAACAGCAAGGGTTGTTACCAGTTTTCTTCTTCTGCTGTCTTTGTCCCGACGGATACCTGCCTTGTGTCAATCTGATCTCTCTTTTATGAGGTGTCTTTTTGGATATATAGGGGTCAGGGAGCTGCTTGATGAGACGGTCTCTTCTTTATAGGAGCTCAAATGGTGAGCTGTTAGCTCTGTTGTTGTTCATTCAGAGCTGCTGGGCAGGTACTTTTAGGTCTGCTGCAGCAGAACTCATAAACTGCTTTTTGTTCCCAGGTGATCTGTCCCAGGGATTTAGGGCTTTATTTATGAGTTTCCATTGTGCTGCCGCCTTCTTTTTTTTTTTTTTTTTCCTTCAGACCTGCCCTGCCCAGCAAGGAGGCAGCCTAGTCACTGTCGGCCTATAGCAGCTTTGCTGAGCTGCTCTGGGCTCTGCCCCACTGCCGAGTGAACTTCCCTGCAGTCCTGTTTATATGGGTGTAGTTAGAACTGCTTTGGTGATGGTGGCCCACCTCTGTTGAGGCAGAGTCTCTTTGCTGTGGCTGGTTGCCTTGGCAACGGCGGGCTGCCTCTGTTATGGCGGACGCCCCTCCCCCGCAGAGCTGGACTGTCCCGGGTTCAGCTGCGCTTGCTGTGAAACTCTCAATCCAGAGTTTCTTGTTGCTGTTCTTTTGCAGGGGTGGGGCCAGCTGAGCCTGATTGCCTGGCTCCCTGCCTCAGAGCCTTTTTTAAGCTGGTGTTCCAGTCGCCTGTTGAAGAGGCGCCGGGGTCTGTTTGTTTTCCCCTGCGGCCACTCACTGCGCTGGCTTAAACAGCGGCACTGAGGTTTGTGGCGCTTTTTTTTTGCCCTGGAATCTACTAATCTACTGTCCTGGTTCTCTGCTCAGTCCCCTTTTTGAACCGGCGAATGGGCGACTTCCCGTGGCTCCAATCGCCAGCCAAAAGGGCACCCGGACCGGTGTATTTTGTATGGAGAACCGCGGCTCTGGGGCGCCGACAAAGCAGCCGCGCTGGCCGAAACAGCTGCTCTGGCCACCGTGGAGCTCCTTCGCCTGGGAATTTCCTAGTCTGTGGGCAATAAAAACGTGACTTACACTCACCCTCTGCGCTTTCACTGGGAGCTGCGATCCTGAGGTGTTCCTAAACGGCCATCTTGGATCCGACCCCGGGCCAGCACTTTTTTATGGCTGAATAAATATTCTATTGTATAGATGTACCACATTTCACGTGTACATTTATCAATTGATGGGCATTGGATTGTTTCCATCTTTAGGCTACTATTAAAAATGTTGCAGTAAACATTCATGTAAAAGTTTTTGCTTGAACATCTGTTTTCGATTCTCTCATGCATATACCTAAGAGTGAAATTACAGGCCATATGTTCATTTTTAAACAAAGCTAATAATATCTGTGCAAAATCGATGGAAACAAATAGACAAAAATAAACAAACCTATTTATGGTTTTACCAAATGGCTGCATAGGAGCAAGGACTATCAGGGAATATGGATGAATAAAATACTTGAACCTTTGAGAGAGAGTGTTTACCAGTTAATGGTTTTCTGTGGTTGCAAATAAGTATTACAAATGCAGAAGGCAGCAGGTGTTGCTTCTGCTACTGGAAATCCAAATCCATTAAATACATTCTCTAGGCTTTTAGGCACTTAGAGTTATGTTGACTATTTGTGATACAGCTCTTATAAAGGCATAAAGCATACCATTCTGAAAACAGACAAAGACTGTTCAGACAAATATCTATGTCTAATGTGAGCCGGTTCAATTGAAATGCTGTCCCCACATCACTCATTGGGTCAGTTGAAAATATCATGGCCAGAGGCAACTTGGCACAGAACTGAATTTATCCAAGAATTATTATCCTTGAATACTCCATTGTAACCTGCCCGCTGGAGGTCATTTAAGAAAATATGACAGTACTAAATATGGCAAACAAAAGTTTATTATATCCTATCAAACATTTTTCCAATGTGGTGTTAGAAAGTTTCTTCAAATATGCATTTCCTTTATTTGTTTAGAAATGGAAAAATGCATATTTATCATATTCATCTCAGAATGACTATGTGGCACAACAGTGGTATGATGTAGAAAACTTTTAACTTCAGGAAACCCAAACTCAAAAGCCTATGGAGTCAAGTTGATAATGTAGATAATATAAGCAGGGGCATATAAAAATAACAAGAACTTTTGCTACCACAAGTTATTACTCTCTCTCCAGTTTTACTGAAATGAACAGTATTCTTAGTTTTTTTTTTTCACCCACGTTTTGCAATTTTTATTTTTTAGCCGGACATGATGGGATGTGCCTATAGTCCCATCTTACTTCGGGAGGCTGAAGTGTGAGAATTCCTTGAGCTCAGGAGTTTGAGACTACCCTTAGCAACACAGTGAGACCCTGTCTCTAAAACAATAAATACATAAAATTTTATTTTTAAAGAGAAGTAATAATTGTATTATTTATGAGGTACAATGTGATGTTTTGAGATACATATATATACACACACACAAACACACACAGATTGTGGAATGATTAAATCAAGTGAATCAACATACCCACCACTTAACCTAAGTATCATTTATTTGTAGTTAGAATGTTTAAAATCTGCTCCTTTAACAAAAAATATTTCACTTTTCTCTTTACTGTAATAAAAGCAACAGCAATAACAGTACAGTAAAAACTAACATTCTGTGTATGTGTGGGGATAGGAAGTGACAGGACCCACAGTGACTGAGGGTAAGGAAGCTGCTACTCAGCTCCAGCCTGTTGTTTCCTTAAGGGCACGCAGGAATGTAGGCCCTGTGTGGCAAAACCTTCTCATTTTTCAAGATAAGCCAAGGAGCTGTATTTATATATGAAATCTTCCAATTTTTAGACGTTGGCAACTGTTTAAAAATGAAATGTTAAGTGGATAAAATTGTATTCCCCAAATCATCAATTTTTACGCTCCGTCACAAATTAATATTAATTGAAGGAATATGATATCTAAAACCAGGTAAGCTAAATTTAAAAGATTAAAGACTGAAATGATTAATGTTTTACAATTAACTTTATATAAACAAAAAGTCCACTTAAAGAATTAGAAAAAGAAAGGCAATACAATTAGGAGCAGACACACAAAGAAGCTTACATTATGCACTTTGTCCAGACATAAGGAATTGAGAAGAGTTTTTTTTTTTTTTTTTATTGCCAAGGTTATTATGGAGGTTAATGAAAATGTTTACCCAAAAGGTGGAACTACCAAGGATGAATATAATATTCATAAGAAAAATGAGGACACTATGATCAGTCCCCAAGACCCTTTCTAAAATTATAACAGCTTTCATTTTCAGCCTGCCATGCTAATATCACTGCCTTGTGTTTACAGGGATTTTCGGTTTATATGGACTCTTGTTTGGATGGCCACAGTACCCCTTTTGGCAAAGAGTAATGATCTGCATTTCATAGATCAGGAAATCAAGGGCATAAAACATGTTGCTGAAAAAAGACTAGGAATAAAAAACCTTTTATTCATGCAAATCTCAGTTGCAAATTCACATAGTGGAGGCGGAAATGTCAACCGGATGTCTAGACTATAGAAAGAACTAGTCTTTGCTGAGCCTCAAATACTATTTTTAAAGTCCTATTAATGTGAAAGACTGAGGACTCCTTGTAACCTTATTTAAAAAGTTTTATTACTGGGTATATATCCAAAGGATTATAAATCATTCCTCTATAAGGACACATGCATATGAATGTTCATTGCAGCACTGTTTACAATAGCAAAGACCTGGAACCAACCCAAATGCCCATCGATGACAGACTGGACAGGGAAAATGTGCAACATATACACCATGGAATATTATGCAGCCATAAAAAATGATGAGTTCGTTTCCTTTGTAGGGACATGGATGAATCTGGAAACCATCATTCTCAGCAAACTGACAGAAGAGCAGAAGATCAAACACCGACCTCATGTTCTCACTCATAGGTGGGTGTTGAACAATGAGAACACATGGACACAGGGAGGTGAACACTACACAATGGGGTCTGTTGGGGGGAAATGGGGGAGGGACAGGGGGTGGGGAGGTGGGGAGAGACAGCATGGGGAGAAATGCCAGATATAGGTGAAGGGGAGGAAGGCAGCAAATCACACTGCCATGCGTGTACCTATGCAACAATCTTGCATGTTCTTCACATGTACCCCCAAACCTAAAATGCAATAAAAAAAATCACCCCACAGCAACCAACTTTTAAATCGTGAAGAGCAACTCTGATGTGGCTACTAACACACATGCCACCACTGTTTCTAAACTTCTATATAGACAGAGAATTTTAAAAATCAAACAACAAATTTTAACACAGGCCCAATCTAGTGTAAAAGCTAAAACCAGATCCCTGAAGGGGTTATCCTGTATTCACAGGCAGCATTTCTCAATTTCAGAAAGAATTTAATCAATTTTCTTTTCCATCAACCACACATTTACTTGGAGCTCGCCTATTAAACTCTGCAAAGAAGGGCACAAAATAAAATGCTAATTTGTGCAATAAAAAAAATAAAAAAATAAAAAGTTTTATCTGCTAATACATGGACAGTGTTTGCTGAGAGAAATATATTTGTTATTTGACTCTAAAAAAATCACCTATGCAAAAGTTTCATTGTCAAAAGTAGACAGACAGCACACACACAAAAAAACCATAATTTTCCACTGAATGATTTTCCTTGAAATTAAACATTTTTATTTGAATGCAATCATCAACATAAGACTGAATGACAATATATTTAATTATGAGTAATATAAAGTGAAACCATACAAATTGAGAACAAAATTAAGTTGCCTTGGTAATTATTCAAAAAGTGTTTGACCAAAACAGACCCCTGTCCCAGTCTAAATACTCTCTATTAAATTCTCAAAATAAATATAGCTAACTACAAAGAAATCCTTATTATGCTTTTGAGATGACCCATTTTCATGCTCTGGGAAAAGAAATGATTTTGCAGAAGACATGAGAATGGTGTGTTATTTTAAAGTGAAGATGTGAATGTCTATATGGAAAGGCAAGATGAACTTGGACATTAAACCATAAACTGAGAATTCTGATTTGGTTCCCTTTTAGCACAGTGCTGCCGAAGCACTGCCAAGTGCACCTTGCACTCGGATGTGTAATGTATCTCTATAACTGGTCTGATCATCCTCATGGCTCCATCTACACCTGCATTTTCTGGCTCTCCTTTTGAGAATGCTCACAATCTCTCAGGTTGGCCTTGCCTTATGCCCAGCCATTTTCCGTCATAAGGTTTTGGGCACATGGTTGGTTATGGGATGGGGAAACAAGGGGCTGTGGTAGCTTGCTTGTCCCTGTGGTACTAAGTTTTTCCCTGCACTGGTGACTGTTAAGGTGTGATGAATCTTATTCATGACCTTTCTGCTTTGTTCTCAGCCCTTTCATTAGCACTGTGTTTTTATAGATAGCCAATAAATTGATCTTTACTTTCATATATGCACATGCATATAGTATCATACAAATAAATGGTAAATAATTAGAAAAGAAATAGATTATTGTGAAGTAGCAAAAATTCTGCCTAACAAGATTTTTAAAAGTAAAACAAGATAATCTATAGACAGTGTCTGGTGATATGATTGTATGCCTGTAAAACCCCATAGTCTCTGCCCAAAAGGTCCTTGATCTGATATACAACTTAAGCAAAGCTTCAGGATACAAAATCAGTGCACAAAAATTAGTAACATTTCTGTATACTAATAACATCCAAGCTGAGAGCCAAATCAAGGACACAATCACATTCAGAATAGCCAAGAAAAGAATAAAATACCTAGGAATACAGCTAACCAGGGAGATGAAAGATCTCTACAATGAGAATTACAAAACACTGCTCAAATAATTCAGAGATGACACAAACAAATGGAAAAAGGTTCCATGCTCATGGATAGGGAGAATCAATATTGTTAAAATGTCCATACTGACCAAAGCAATTTACAGATTCAATATTATTCTTAACAAGCTACCAATGACATCCATCACAGAATTAGAAAAAAACTATTTTAAAATTCATATGGA